AAATAAGTATTCCACAACACAATTAATGAGGAAACACGAGTTATTTTCATGAAAGATAAAACCTCTCCAGAGTGACAGTGAGAATCCACACATGCTAACACATGTAGCATGTGTGAACAATGAGCAATCACCTTATTCATTCTTACGTTATTTAAAATTTTCACATCTCAACTTTCTCAGATTTGGGATTACATTCACCTTTGTTGGTTTGGATATTGAATTTAGACAGCAATGATTTTTCCATTTGTCTGAATTTTGCTTTGGGTGGCGTGGGTGCTSTCCRGGCACTCTGGCTTCCTCCCACAGACCAAAAACATGACCGTTAGGTTAACTGGTCACACAAATTGTCCCTAGGTGCGAGTGAGAGAGTGAATGGTTGTTTGTCTCTTTTGTGTGTCCCTGTGATGAACTTGGGACCTGTCCAGCATGTACCCTGCCCCTCGCACTGTGACTGCTGGATATGGGCACCTGGGACCCTGAAAGGAAGAAGCGAGTACAGATAATGAACGTGAAGGAAATTTTGTAACTGTTTGACTAAATGTTAGGTCCAGATTTGTATTATCACACTTTCTGGTTTTATGCTATGTTATTCAGACTTCCATTTATTGATCACAAATTCCTTTCAGATGGATGAATATCATAGAAAGTTAAAATACAATTATTTTAACCTTGAATGTGGCACAAAATACGGTAAAATTKTGTTACAATTTAGTCTATAAAGAGCAGATACACTGTGAATTTCCTGTTTACTCACACTGGATGTTTGTTGTTACCCCACACCAGTCATGTTTCTGCCGAAAAAGAGCAAAGAGAAGGAGGTGGAGCCAAAGAGTCAAGTGATTGATGGCATCAGTCGCCTCATCTGCACTGCCAAGCACCAGCAAACCATGCTGAGAGGTAATTTTTGGCACAGACATCCTTTACCAATTTGTCTTCAAACACACACACAAGTTGTTTTTTCTATCCTTGTGGGGACTTTGCATTGACCTCCACTCATGTTTCAGTCATTTCTATAGCCTAACCCTGACCATGTATCCCAAACCCAACCACCCCGGTACATACCTGACCCTAAATCTAGCCTGAACTCAATTCACACCTTGATCCTAAACCCAACCCCGCCACCCAAATTCAGCGTCCGTACCCGAGGGGACCAGACTTTGGAACCCATGAGGAGCATTGGGTCCCCTCAAGGCTGTGTTCTGGAAAATTGTCCCCACGATGTAGCAAAAACATGTCCACACCCACACACACACAGAAATGAGATATCCATGCTCTGTTTTTATATTTATTATAACTTAATCATTCAATCATGGTAGCAATATTTGATTCTTACATAAAAACCTTTGGCATTTGTTACAGTTTAGCCATATTTTGGTCAAAATAAATGATTGGTATAATTTCATTTCAGTCATTTTTCAAATGATATAAAAATAGTCCTGAGTATAGATGGCATTTCCACACTGAATGAGCCACATGCTCATCTAATTTGTGCATCAGTTTTGGCAAACAGACAGTATTTTAAGTGAGTCTGGCTTTGTTCAGCAACATGTTGGAAMCAATTACAGATTTACAAAGTAGTTGTGAAAAAAATAAAATTCCTGGTTTTATCCCAAGTTGAAATTCTGTTTTGTTGWCTTTGTTTAAAACTAACCGACTGAWATGCATYGMRCAAAGTCCAATACTAGTTTTTATCATKTCCTGTGTTTATAAAAGTAAATGATCAATAAGTGAAATATAAAAYAGGTTGCTACAAATAACATGATTACTTCTGGAAAAAAAAAAGGTATAACATGCATTCACGGTAACTCAGACCTTTGAGTGATGTGTGGTTTTTTTGTTTTATGTTTTTTCTACAGTTCTGATTGACGGCGTTGAGTGGAATGATGTCAAATTTTTTCAGTTGGCGGCTCAATGGTCTTCACATGTCAAACACTTTCCTATTGGGATCTTTGGACACATTAAAGGCTCTTACTAGCAGCAACTAAAAACTGAAGACTTGACACAAGAATGACTGCTTTCCATCCCCTCTCTCCTGTTCCATCAAGTTTTCACCCCATTTCTCCTGACTTTGTCAGCACACATGATCTTACTTGGCTGTCTTAGGTTAACCCCCTGCACTGTTTCATTTATCTGATTATTTAATATTTTGCAAAGTTTCTTTCTTAATTTCTATTTATGTTAAACCTTCTCAGGCAACGTTGCCTTGGGAAGTTTTATTTACTATAATCGTTAACATGTAGWGTAAGTGCCAGGTGTCATGTTGGTGTAATATTGTGTTTGTTTAATTTTTAATTGTGTTAAGCACTTGACCAGCACAATGTTTCAAGCATAATATACACTCGAAAAACAAGAGCAGATGATTTTTACTGAGGTGGTTTAAAATCATGGTGAAAAATATTGGGTTTGTAGCTTCAGAAACATAAAATTTTTAAATCTTTACCTAGAAGTAAAAAGCACCTTCTGTAAAATCGAGCTTGTGCAATAGACTGACTGTAAAATTAATTCTGTGCTGACCTGGTTCTGTACACCACCTTTATAAAATGGTTTTTGGGGGCTCATATAATTACTAACGTTAACAGTGACACATGATAAACCAGACGAAGAGTGATCCATTTACAGGGGCATCACTCTCCTTAGCTCCCCATTAAGGTCTATTCAGGGGTACTGGAGAAGYGAGTCTGATCGATGGTTGAACCTCAGATTCAAGAGGAACAATGYAGATTTCKTCCTGGCCGTGGAACACTGGACCAGCTCTTTACCCTCACTAGTGTCCACGATGGGTCATGGGAGTTTGTCCATCCAGTCTGCATGTGTTTTGTGGACTTGGAAAAGGCATTTGACCATGTTCCTCAAGGTGCACTGTGGGGATGTGCTCTGCGAGGATGGGATTGTGGGTCCGTAGTTAAGAGCCAGTTCTTGTATAAGAGGTGCAAGAGTTTGCTTCGCATTGCCGGTAGTAAGTGGGGGTGTAAGAAAATATCGATACACTGCAATATCACGATATTTCATTTCCCGGTACTGTATCAATATTCTAAAGCCCTGAATCGATTTTTTATTAAGGTTTAAAATGTCAACCTTCTTGCCAGCCGTTCATTTTTATGTTGTAGTTCAGCCTCTGACCACTAGTTGGCAGCAGTGAGCCAGACATTTGGCTCCTCTACCTCTTGAGCGCCAGAGAGTAAGGGTAGCATTAGCATTGTAAGTAAACATTAGCTTTTCTTTTTTTTTCAGTAAGAGGTTTTTATTTAATAGAAATTTTGGACAAAAAAAATCGCAATATATCGCAATATATTACCTTGCGCACAGTATCCCAATATATCGGGATATATCGTATCGCAACCCCTCTGTTATGATATGTATTGTATCGCCAAATTCTTCCCAATACACAGCCCTAGTAGTAAGTCTCCCCTCAGAGTGGGGGATGGACCCTGACAGAGCTGACCGTTGTCACTGGTTCTGTTTATAACTTTTATGGACATAATTTCTTGGTGCAGTCAGGGGGCAGAGGGAGTTCAGTTTGGTGGCCTCAAGGTTCCACCTCTGATTTTTTAAGGAGTTCAAGTTATTTGGGTTTTGTTCACGAGTGAGGGAAGAATAGAGTGTGAGATTGACAGATGAATCCCTGCAGTATTGTGGACTCTGTTTTGATGAAGAGGAAGCTGAACTGTTTACCAATTAGTCTACGTTCCTACCTTAATCTATGGTCACAAATTTTGGGTAGTGACTGAACAAACAAGTTCACGGATGCGAGAGGTCAAGACCTGACTCCAGAACAAGTGGTAGATGACGGATGGATAAAATTAACTGTAATTATAAAAGCCCCAAATCTGTTTTTTCTGCAACATGAAGTAGAAAATAGATGTAGATTCAAACTTAAATGAATGTATTGACACTTTAGATCCTGCACTAATCTGTTGTCACAGTAAAAATTACATTAGGAAACTGATTCATCTGCAAAACAGCAGCTAGTTCACTTAGTTAGCTAATAACATAAATAGAGCAGAACTAGCTATTTTACCGCTTCAAGTAATGGGCATAAAAAATCCAATTACCATTAAATAGTGAAGCAAATACTTCCTAGAAAATCACAATTTGTTGTTCTAAACCTTTTTTTCTTTTTTCCTTTTAACTTTTCAGGTAGAGATTTACGTCATTTGCACCACTGAATATTTTTACTGCAAAGCTAATAGCCTACAGCCAACCTATAAGACGCAAGTGTGGCTCTAGTCAAAAGTAAAAAAAAAAAAAAAGCTTATCTATAGCACTGTTAAAGGATGAAGTTGTGCACAGATACTGTATGTTACAACTCAATGTTGCCAAATCTGGATACATCACCATTGGAGAGCATTATCAATCCTCTCTGAACTTGTCATTTAAAAATATTGAGTCCTTTCGATTTGTTTAAAAAAAGAACAATTATTGCAGTGTTATAATCTTGATTAAAAAAAGAGTGCATGTTTTTATTTCTTCTATGCTGTTATTGTATAAAAACAAATTAAAGGTCTAGCTTTCAAGAAGGAATGTATATCGCCTGACACTTTTCATGTTTTAATCCTAGATGACAAACGCCAAAACTATCACAGACACRGTAATGTTTTAGGTATGTGCTTGTCATACAGCTACTACCATATAATATTTATCTCTATCATCCCAGCTGTTGTCAACACCAAAAGGCCTTCTTCAAAATCCCCTTGTGGGCGGCATGGCAGAGCCATGGTTAGAGCGGTCTCCTTTTGTTCCTCTGCGTACATGTATGGTTTTCACAGAGTACTCCAGTTTATTCCCACAAGCCAAAAATAATACGTGTTAGATTAACTGGTAATTCTAAATTGTCCCAAGGTGTGGGTGAGAGTAGGTGAATATTTGTTTCATTTGTCCTTATGCGACACTGTGATGGACTTGCAACTTGTTCAGGGTGTACCCTGCCTCTCACACAATAACTACTGGAAATAAGCACCAGCTCCCCATGACCCAGAAAGGAGAAGCGGATAAAGATGATCCAACATCCTGTACACAGATTTGAATGAAAATCACAAAAAATGAATCATTGGGTGCACATCTATAGGCAGCTGTAGCAAAGTGATTTGGGGGTTGTCCTGTAACCGGTAGGTTGCCGGTTTGAACCCCCCACTCCATCTGTCTCAGTAAGTGAGGGAAAAAAACGAATCTGTCTTGCCTGCTGGTGGTGGTCAGAGGGTCTGACCCGGCAGCCCCACCTCTTTCAGTGTGCCCCAGGGCAGCTGTGGCTACATTGTAGCTTACCACCACCAGTGTCTGAATGGGTGAATGACTGTAGTGCGGACTTGACCGCTATAAAAGTTCAGACCATTTACCATCTATACAACTAATTAAGTTTTGGAGTCAATCCAATTCAACATAGCCACAAAAGCTAAAGGCTCCCACATACTCGGGTGCGGTCCATGAGCCGCGTGGACTCCACTCATATTGTCCACGGATGTTTGAGACTTCACACTCGAGCGTACTGACCGCCTGACAAATTCTTTAATTTCTCACAATTTCAGTCATGATTTCAAGGACGAGGAGGAAGAGTAGCTTTAAAACAACAAAAGAGAAGAGCTTATCTTACCCAGGATCTGAGCTATTTCTTCCCACAAATTTGTTACTCTTTGAAAGTCCTTATATTCCTTCACTGTTGTATCATAAAGTTTCTCTGTTTTCTAATCTCCATGAGACACTCTTCAAATTTCGACTCTGTTTCGTCCACAAATGACACCGATTCGGAACTGTTTCTGCTTGGTGTCACATTCAAAACAGTTCGACGTGAACTTACCAGGCAGTTTGTTGTGCGACACYGTGGACGCGGACGTAAAAAAATGATGACTGCGTGGACCAGTCCGATGGACGGGTAAGTGGAGGCCTTTAGCCAACAAATAATTGGCTAAAACTCAGGCAGTTTTACTGATACTGAGCTAAAGCTCGATGTGCTAGCTTAGTCAATTTTAACACATACTCCCAGCTCTAAAAGATCTACCAAGATTGTACGAAATCAAACTTAACATCATTGCAAAGTTTGACCAAATCCACTATAACATTTGTCTTCTTAAGATGATTTCAATTTAACATTTAAAACGCAAAGGCAATATGCATTCCTTCTGTGACCTTTCGTTAATTATAATTCTAAAAAAGTTTGAAATGAAATAAAAATATTTTTGATGAAAAAAAGAGCTTTTCTAAGTAACACAACTCATTTCCTTGAGCAAACAAACACTTTTTGTGAAAACAAGATAATGAAATCCTTGTTGCACAATATTGTCATGAAAATACATTTCTGTGTATGTTCTCTGTTAGCTTTCATACCAACACTCCTCCTTTGAACTGTACATATTTTACTAAAAGAAACTCTGCTTTTATTTTCCAAAATACCTTTTTTGTCATTGCAGTTTTCTCACTACTTGTTTGATAGTTTAGAGATGGCTTCATAATGTAGAGTTGAATCAGTACCTTTAATGTAAAGCACTTTTAAATGTTTGCTTCATGTAGATTAGTGTGTGAAACCTGATGGCACCCTTCCAGGAGCCTGTAGGTACAGCTGGCTCTGCCATTCTAGTGACTAGTAGCTGAAGAACAGCACAAGCAATGGTGACATATTTCATAAGCAATGTTAGCCAATCATCTGTATCTCCTTTGTGCCATGTAATATTATTGTGTGCTTAGTGTGAGGCCTCATTGACTAGTTCAGGTTTTTGTTATATTTTCTGACAGGTAAAATGTAGAAAGTTAAAGTTATAAAGAAAGTTATTGGTAGTCTCAGCTTTATTTGTCTGTCAAACAAGAAATCTAAACACATTCGGCTCACAGAATTTCTTTAGCTAGATGTTTGATTTTATCCTTCCTGAGTATTTAACAAGTGCCTAAACTGCATAATAAAAAGACCTGCATAAGAAGTATCCCTCTCTACAATGGTGCTGATTCTAGGAATAAAATGTCATAATTTTGCAATACAAACAAATAGCTGATGTGAGTTATGGAAAATGTTATTTAGGAAACTTGTCAGTATTTAAAAAAAGACTTAAGCCTGTTCAGGTTGTGCAAAGCTTTTATTCTCTTTTTCCCCCTCTCTGTTTTAAAGTTGTTGTGAATGTTTTTATTTTTAATGTTGTCTCAGAGAAGGCTTGTTGAAACTGAAAGTTCCTTTAAAACTAGCACTGTAATCCCAAAAATTGGGAGTAATAAAATTACCACTCACTCAAATGCAGTTGGTGGTTTCATACTTTGTAATAAGTGAAGAAATCTGGTCTCGCTGACAAAGTTAAGAGGCTCTCTTTTCCAGGTGGAAAATTTTTCTACTCAATGAAGACCTGTAGCCACAGAATCCCAGTGAGGTCTCTC